GAATTTTATTTATCGGCTATTACAATCAATAAGTTTCGCGTTGCACTGGCACGTTTTAGAGCTAGCTCCCACTCGCTCCACATAGAAACCGGGAGATATTTTGGTATCCCAAGACAGCGAAGGTTATGTATGGTTTGTAAAACAGGCTATGTTGAGTCTGAATACCATTTTGTATTGGTTTGTGAAAAATATTATGCTCTCCGAGTGACATATATTCCTCAAAAATATTATGTAAATCCATCAATAGAACAATTTTACATACTTATGTCGTCTCTGCATCAGTCAACAATTAGAAGTCTGGCTTGTTATATTTACCACGCTTTTAAGTTAAGGAATTCATTTTTGCAGAAGTAATATTCTTTATCTATGAATGCCTTGCTGTTGTGTATTTAGGTGTACACAGTTGTATTTTTATACATGTCTGGTGAACCGAATTGTACTATGGGCCGCTGGCCCACTCATGTACTGAATAAACAGATTAGAACTTGAATACTGTTCACAGCGGGAGTAAACGCAGCTCAATCCCTCAGTCGTCTGATTAAAGCTTTGGCAATAAACCAACTGTACCACAGTGGAGGAGGAGGAGGAGGAGGAGGAGGAGGAAGAGGAGGAGGTGGAATAGGTGGAGGAGGAGTAAGAAATTTACAGACAATTCAAGAAAGAAAACAAACTCAGTTGATAAAATATTTCTAGCAGTAGTGTGGTGTTGTAGTTGTAGGTGTGGATGATAGATGAGTATGGTTTTACGCCGCTTTTAGCAATATACCAGCAATATCACGGCGGGGGACACCAGAAATGGACTTCACACATTGTACCAATGTCGGGAATCGAACCCGGGTGTTCGACGTGAAAAGCGAACGCTTTAACCACTAGGCTACCAGACCGCCCCTGTTTAAGGTGTGGTATGTCATATGTACGTCATAGTCGGTAAATTGGACAATGACAGGTGCTTTGTCCCTCGTACGTCAAAATGTCATGATGGCTAGGCTTGACAACGGTAGGTGAATGCTGCTTGTGTACGTCATGATGGATTGATTGGACAATGTTTTGTAGAATGCTTTTGTGTAGGTCAGGATGGGTAGACTGGGCACTGACAGGTGGTATCTCGTGTGTATGTCATAATGTGTAAGTTGATGGTAGGCTGGGCAATGGCAGGTGGTGTCTCGTGTGTATGTCATAATGTGTATGTTGATGGTAGACTGTACACTGGCAGGTGGTGTCTCATGTGTATGTCATAATGTGTATGTTGATGGTAGGCTGGGCAATGGCAGGTGGTGTCTCGTGTGTATGTCATAATGTGTATGTTGATGGTAGGCTGGGCAATGGCAGGTGGTATCTCATGTGTATGTCATAATGTGTGTGTTGATGGTAGACTGTACACTGGCAGGTGGTATCTCATGTGTATGTCATAATGTGTATGTTGATGGTAGGCTGGGCAATGGCAGGTGGTATCTCATGTGTATGTCATAATGTGTATGTTGATGGTAGACTGTACACTGGCAGGTGGTATCTCATGTGTATGTCATAATGTGTATGTTGATGGTAGGCTGGGCAATGGCAGGTGGTATCTCGTGTGTATGTCATAATGTGCATGTTGATGGTAGACTGTACACTGGCAGATGGTATCTCATGTGTATGTCATAATGTGTATGTTGATGGTAGGCTGGGCAATGGCAGGTGGTATCTCATGTGTATGTCATAATGTGTATGTTGATGGTAGGCTGGGCAATGGCAGGTGGTGTCTCGTGTGTATGTCATAATGTGTATGTTGATGGTAGGCTGGGCAATGGCAGGTGGTATCTCATGTGTATGTCATAATGTGTATGTTGATGGTAGACTGTACACTGGCAGGTGGTATCTCATGTGTATGTCATAATGTGTATGTTGATGGTAGACTGGGCAATGGCAGGTGGTGTCTCGTGTGTATGTCATAATGTGTATGTTGATGGTAGGCTGGGCAATGGCAGGTGGTGTCTCGTGTGTATGTCATAATGTGTATGTTGATGGTAGGCTGGGCAATGGCAGGTGGTGTCTCGTGTGTATGTCATAATGTGTATGTTGATGGTAGGCTGGGCAATGGCAGGTGGTGTCTCGTGTGTATGTCATAATGTGTATGTTGATGGTAGGCTGGGCAATGGCAGGTGGTGTCTCGTGTGTATGTCATAATGTGTGGTGCCATACCCCCCCCCCCCCCCCCCATTACTGAAAACAAATGTAACATTAAACGTTAATATCGTCTCACTCATCGACAACCATCGACACGCCAGCCTTACCAGATGTAATGCTTGTCGATAGGAGTTTTTTTTCAAGACATTCCTTTTTCCCAAAAAATATATCTTCCAGAGAACTACTGGTAAAATTAATGTTGCGTCATATTAACAGAATAAACTAGTTTGTTACAGAATGTCTCATTCCCATAGGCATCGTGGTGTTACATGTGGTGATTCATATCGTTGGATCGAAATTTAAAAATATCATTGAACGCTCCCTGTCTCGTATGCTGGGCTCGACGTTTGCTTCGTCAGCATAGCGGGCGGACAAACTTGTTACTTGCTCGCTTAGACAAGCACAACTGCCATATCGATGGCCAATATTTGCCTTCCGTCTCTCTGTAACAGCCGTTACATTTTAGGATATTTTTTAAAGTTTCTCGTCTGCATGATATAGCTACGCTTATGCCAATGTCTAACGCTTGCAGTCATAACAAATCCGGGCGTACGGTTAAAACTCCATTCCCACATTTAAGGCTGTTGTGTGTTTGGCTGTAGAGACAAAATATTTTCTTTTTTCAACGGAACGAATGAAAAATTGCTCCTAGTGTGACTCCATATTGTCACGGGGATGCTATATAATATTACAGTTATATGCGTTATGCATCATCAGACACTATATGATTTTGAATCCTTTCATTCGTCTCATGTTTGAACAGATACATGTTTAAAACAAGCGGTGCTCCTATGCATTTCTATCTCAACTGGGAAATGTAAAAGGTATGTACATCTATATTCACAGCGTAATTAGTAAGGGTAAGCTATTTGTAAATGATTTCAAATGTGTCTTGTCAGAAAAATAAACATTAACCGAGACACTCCCAACACAGCCCAACTGCGTACAGCATGTAGATGGTGTTGTATTCATGACGGTCGCCTTTTGAGTCTATGATGAGAGTCAATGATTTTGTAGAATTAGTATCTAAAACGCCTACCACGACATTATGCTTAAAGGTCAAACAAGCGAGCTCTGTCACGAACGATGTCACTACAAGAATTCAGTGTCATGTGCACAGACACAGCAGCCGCAACATTAGCGACTTTAGTCAACGGGTAAAAGATTCAGAGATTGCTGTCTCCTTGCAGACTCAACAACAAGGGAATCAGTCTGAAGACGTGTAACAGTTTATGCCTCCCGCAAATTAAAATTTTTGATACAACAAACGGATTAAGTTTCAGAGGGCGCGTCCAAGATTATTGCACTTATATAGCGACGTGCATGAGATACCATGCCGCAGTTTAACATGAATACCCCACTCAGACACAGTATACTGACTCCGAGCCGACCAGTCCTTGCTTTAACCCCATAATGCCGAGCGCCAGACAGGGTAACAACAAACACCATCTATTAACGTCTTTTGGTATGACGCGGGCGGGGATCAACACTTCAAAGGAACTATCAACCCGATTAGTGTTTGTGACACGGTACTGTATCAGCAACCCTGCTCCCCGCCCGCCATCGAGTGTCAACATTGACTGTTATCGGATATCCAGGATGCAAACACCAGGGCTAGGAGGGTGGTATACTCCAATAACAACGCCGCGGATAGCTATATATGTATACCCAACTAAATGCAATACCACCAATTTGGATAAAACAGAATTCCGAGGACAGCATTATCAGATTGGCCCATGGGCAACCGCCTTTTGGCACGAGGTCATTGGCAAATAACATTTCCTCACAATCAGACTCAATGTGCGGCCAAGATCAAGCAAAATACATCTATTTTGATACCAAATATCTACATATGATTCAGGCTTGGCATGACCATCCAGTTGACCCTTAAAGATTCCGGGGCAGAACAATAAGTCTTCAGCAACCCATGCTTGCCGTAAAAGGTGACAATGCTTGTCGTAAAAGGCCGTTAACGGGATCGGGTGGTAAGGCTCGCTGACTTGTTTGATGTATGTCATCGATCCCAATTGCGTGGATCGATGCTCATGATAGAAATCACTGGATTGTCTAGTCCAGAGTTGATTATTTACAGACCGCTGTCATATAGCTGCAATATTGCTGAGTGCGGCGTTAAACAACAAACCAACCAACCAACCGACCAACCATTCAGTTTATTAGAACCGGGCCCATCCTAGGCTATACGACCCATCAGGGCAAAGTTAGGGTCAAAGTGGAGTGTTGGACTGAGGAACACTAGTGCCGGCTCCGGGGTCCTCAACAACTAGTCTTTCTAGACTTTGTTTGTTTGTTTGATTGATTGATTGATGTTTAACGCCGCACTCAGCAATGTGTCAGCAAGATGACGGCGGTCTGTAAATAATTTTCGATCAGACAATCCAGTGATGGATATCGTGAACAACAATTCACGCTGTCATCGAGTCATCGATCCGATTATGTATAAATCTAAAAGTGATGATTTTCAAAGTTCACGCATGTTCGCAGCGCGAAACCTGCGTACAGACACATCGAGTGAAACACAACTCTTTTATAGATTTCCAGAATATACACAAGAGCAACCGTTATGCTTTCGTAGCCACGGTAACGCTTTATTGCTGGTTTGATACATAGAACCATATGACGCCTGTATTATTGCATACGCCCATTATGAAATGCTGAGATTCCAACACATACTTCAATGCACTTTCTTAAAGCTTTTATTACATTCTCAATAGATTCCTATGTCGATCAGAACGCCCATGAGCTATTTAACATCCGACCATGAGTATTTGATTTGATAGCACCTGTTGCCAACAATTGACACCGATATAAAAGTAATTACCTATCCCTAGTTTCAGTCACTTAGAGGATTGCCACTGCGGAGTGTCCGTTTTATTTGCAATTATTGGTGATTACACAGAGAAAACAAACCGGACAATGAACCTGACCATCGTTTTGGTGCTACTGGCTCTCGTGGCAGTGGCCTTTGCCCAGGACCCACCGGTACGTGTCTGTCAGAAACCATTCCTCTTTGTTATCCTTCGTGGCCACGTTTCCAATATTGCTGATATATTCTAACTGTATTTCCAACAAGAACATTGTTTATCATTGTATCTAAGCAGTATAACTTCTTTGATTCTGTCATTCCGTTCTTTGAAATATATGTTTACCTTAAAACACAGACTTATTCATATGTGACGGTACAATCTGTATTGGTCGTTTTAACAGGCAAGAAATACATTTCTACTTCATTTCGAAATATGAAAAAAACGCGATGGGTCTGCATTTTAAACAAGAAAATTGTTTATCATTCATTGTATCTAAGCAGTATTACTTCTTTTGCAGTATAACTATCATTTCGTTCTTTTGATATATGTTTAAGAGGGTAAGGGTGGCCCAGTCGTCTAAGGCTCCGCGATTCGCTGTGCAGAGTTGTGCCCCTTGGGCACGCCAGAAACCTATGATTGTGGGTTTGAATCCCGGTTCGCCCCGATTATGTTTCTAGGTTTGTCAGCACCATATCCGTGCTCGTTGGTTTCACCGAAGTGGTAAACGTCTGAGACCTGCTTTCCTCCCACATTAAACTGACACGCCGCGATATAGCTTAAATATTGTTAAAAGACGCGTTAAACCCAACTCACTCACTTACTCACACATATCACATACGCAGAAAAATACAGATTCTGTAAGGGACATGTCGCGTTCTTGAGATCATTCCGAACCCGAAATATTGAGAAATTTACTACTTTCCTTTTGTAGTGTACGTTGTCAACTGCAGGGTAACGCCAATTTTTGTGACATAGGGTCCCATTGTCCACTGCAGAGTAAAACACATATTTCCTAGTTATGTGTCAATTCAATTCAATTCTTTATTGTATGAAAGGCCACAGGCCCATATACAACGGAGTGACATAACATATTTTATAAAATACAAAGTGAGAGTGAGTATGGTTTACGCCGCTTTTAGCAATATTCCAGCAATATCACGGCGGGGGACACCAGAAATGTACAAAGTCAAGGTAACAATTCACTTCGTAACAAAAAAGCATTATGTATGTACAAAGCCAGTTGATGTTGTGTTATATGATCCTTGCAAGACAGTAATGAAGACAATCTTATAGCATTAAAATGAGATAAAGATATAGTTATATGTCATGGAGTCCTCATTGTTTACCGCAGAAGTGCTACATCATTCATTTCAGCAAAGTAATGCATGCACATTACTCGCACGCACGCACATATATTGTGGGAATGAGATCTTGGTGCCGCTTTCTTTACAGGTCGTCAAATCGCTTTCAATTTCCACGGTAACACGTAAAGGCTCTATTAAGAATATTGAGATTCGTAATGCGTCGTCTAAGGGTTACTGGCATACTTGGAACGTGTAGATCTCAGCGAGAGGTAGCCAGTACGTTAAAAAAAAGTATTAGTCTGTGATTTGCAGACTTTGGAACAGGTTTCTGCAGACACAAAATGTTAATAATCGGTCCAGCACAGGATGCTCTCAACAACACAACTGCAAGAACGATTAATGAGAAATCAGGCTTTAATAAATTGAGCCCAAACAGCCAATCAAATTGCTAATCACATGCGCAAGGCACCAGAGTTTAGGTTACTGACCAGGCGATTAAAAATTGTGTGCGTACAGCTGATCCGCATGCTCGGCTGACACGTGTTGTATCATCATTAACACGTGGTGACATTCTAGCCAGGCGTCCCTTGTGGCGAGAGTGTAGAAACTGGGGGAAATGTTTTCACCTGAGTCTAGACAAGGAATGGACATATCTGAAAGCGTCCCACTGAACGAACGTCAACGTAAGCCATCATGACAGATTTGGGAGTGGGTGGTCTTTATCGATATGGGGCTGGATAACTATGGCTTCCTGAACGCCACTGCATAATTGACCATGGAAAGGTCACTGGACAGTACTACCGAGCAAACATACTGCAGCAAATAGCTGTGATCATACGCCGATGGCGTCGATCGTTGAGTATGCTATCAAACACCGAATGTCTTGTCCTAGGTTACGGCCATGATATAGCTGAAATACCGCTGATTTCGGTAAAACAAATTTACTCACTCGCCTGCAGTAGAGCTCGTTTGATTCTGACAAAAAAACAAAACGGAATGAGTTTTAATTTCAGTGTGTCTTTGACATGAGCGGTAAGAAATGCGACGCACAGGAAGACTTCCCAAACTGCAACCTCCCCTCCTTGTCACGGACAGTAAGTAAAAATATATAAATGAAAAAGAATAAATTTACAGTTAACAAATTACGCTGCTGATTGTTAGAGGTAAGAACAATGGTAGGCGGGAGTGAGAGTCAGGGGCAGTTGAAATAGGAAGAGCAACTGCCGACGGAAAGCAAGACATGAGAGCAAGAAATATGGAAAGGGGAGAGATAGGGGTGGTCTGTGTGTGTGTGTGTGTGTGTTTGTTTGTTTGTGTGTGTGTGTGTGTGTGTGTGTGTGTGTGTGTGTGTGTGTGTGTGTGTGTGTGTGTGTGTGTGTGTGTGTGTGTGTGTGTGTGTGTTTGTGTGTGTGTGTGTGTGTGTGTGTGTGTTTGTGTGTGTGTGTGTGTGTGTGTGTGTGTGTGTGTGTGTGTGGAGAGGGGGTGAGAGTTGAAGAATTGTAGTATGAGATCGAATGCCAAAGTAGGGGAAAAAGTGTTTATATTATTAAATAGAGAGGTGGAATAAAATGTTCATATGCATTTCAGTTTGAATATATAAATATGTCACGTTATTTTCAACATCATTTGAACTCATCATCTGTGTTTTAGACCTGTGTGTGTCCTCCAGGGACCCAGTGTAAGCTGCAGGGGGATGATGGGGCCTGCGTCTACTCATGTGAACCACTTGGCGAGCAACCCAAAGACAACAATGCAGGAATGGGTCCCGGGGCTGGCATGGTGTAGTACACACCCACGGACGTTGTCCAAGAGATTGCACACAGCTGTGTTTAAAACATTGGGCCACGTACTTATCTGATATTACATCTTTCCGAACAGTGACTTTGTCAAACGATCATCAACTCTTTATCGGTTAACATCTGCATGTTTGGATACTGGATAACTTCAAGACATACAAATGGTAATTTAATTGAAAGATACCAGCTATTTCAATTCATAACTAAAAAGAGGTTCACTGCCACAAGGTCATATTGACCTAATCTGAAGGTCAGGGTTACAGGTGCATACCATGTACCATCTCATTTTTATATTGTTCAGTTTGACCTAATTCTGAAACAACTATGTCCTGTTTGTGAACACATTATGTGACCAGTCTCAGTACTGATTATTAAAGCAATTCATCATTGTTTTTCTCCTGTTTGTGGAAATATATTCCGACTTCATTCTGATATAAAACATTGTGGCCCGCTTACAGTTTGGCTTCTCCTTCATCAGAGGATGAGATCTAGACTGTATCACATTAAGGCTATTTGGATTTGAACTCTCCGGCAAACATCACAATGATTCATCAAGAAACCTAACACCTCAACATGTGTTCAAATGAAATTCAAAACACATGCTACACAATATTGATATTTTCAGCAAGAAGGGAAAAAACCCATTAATCATAGCATCAAATGCTGTAAACCCACAGCTGACAGGTTCTGGAGCAACACCAAAGCCTCATCTCTATGTCATCTCGTTATAAATACATGAACTTTATGAGTAACGGAGTTTAATTTCAAAGAATAAATATGAAGAAATATATGGCATTTATTGAACTGTAAATCCCATGAAAAACTGACATGTCTGGTCTACAATTATGACGTAGACATGATAGTTTACCTGCAATTAATGACGTATACATGACATACAACCATCTAACCATCATGATGTAGACATGACATGCCAACTACTAGTACTGTTGTTTAATCTACCAATTATGAAGTACGCATGACATATCCCCTACCATTAACGACGTACATATGGCATACCGCCTGCCATTGTCTTGTCAACATTTATCATGTACACATGACATGCCACCTGCCATTATGACGTTCACACAACAATCCACCAACCTGTGGCCCAACTGATCATTGTTCCTGATGTACACAACCAGTGACTACCATACTGCCTGTGATCTGCACCCTTAATAGAGCCACATCTGCTCATCGTGACGTGCCAAATGTTCAGTGTAACATGGTAACTTATATTGCTAAGACTTCCTTCTCTTCAGAAACATTAAAGACGTCCATGAGTCACAGAATGCATTCATCGCCGACGCCCTAATCGTGCAATGATTCATGAAGTGTTTCAAGAACACCAGTGATCAATTATCTGCTTTGATGAATAAATCACAACTACAGACGTCACGATGGCTCTGTGTTGTGATGGACCAAACCACTCAGAGCTTAACCTTGCTCCATCCGCTGCAACAATGGTGGTGTGATCATCACAGAGTGAGTCAGTCAAACCAAGGCACACGCAAACATACGTATTTACAGGTGCATTTATTTATGAAGAAGAACATATTTACCTATTCCAACATTATTATAGTACATATAGGATCACCAGTACAGTTGGTTTATTGCGACTACAACACTTTACCCAGATATGTATTTTGTGTGTGTGTGTGTTTACACTGCACTATTCCAGAGAAATGGAGACGGTTTGTAAATAATAGAGTCTAGACCAATCAAATCAAGATTGATATTACTAACAACGAACCTCATCCTCGGGATATATTGACCCGCAATTCAACCTTTTTCTTTTTGTCGCATTTTGCGACCTGTATAGGCTGCTGTGGACCCATTCAAACTCAAAACCGGGGCATAGACTTCAAGTGAGTAAGTGTGATAGTTGTGTGTTAATTGTCTCTTGCATTGACAACCTCTATTTACATCCCGTCAGCACTTTTACAGACTGAGTTGTGTTTAACGTCATTTTAAACAATACATGTATTTCCATTATATCACGGTGTTCAATCCTGGTGTTAAAGGAAAGCCCGAAGTGTGAGTGAGTGAGTTTGTTTAACGCCGCTTTTAACAGTATTCCAGTTATATCACGGCGTGTCAGCTTCATGTGGGAGGAAAGCCCGAAGTGATTCAGGTTTCAGACGTTTACCGCTTCGGTGATACCCACGAGCACGGGTATGGTGCTAACAAACCTAGACACATAATCGGGGCGAACTGGGATTCGAACCAACAATCATAGGTTTCTGGCGTGCCCAAGGGACGCAACTTTGCACAGCGAATCGCGGCGCCTTAGACGACTGGACCACCCATGCCCCCGAAAGCCCGAAGTAAAACGGGTCTTAGATGTTTATCGCTTTGGAGACACCCACGAGCACAGATTGGTGGCGAAAGACCAAGAATCATCTTGAGTTCGGAATAAATTGAGTTTCGAACCATGACAGGCAGGTTCTTAAAGGCAGGGGACAACTCTAGACACCTAATTTTAGCGTCTAGTTCCGCTGGACCTGTCTCGTATTTATTATCAGCTGATAAATGTTAAAACTAATATTGCAGTGATGAATTGGTTGCTAATTTAATTGCCTTCACAAAACACTTTTCCGTGAGACCATTCAGCTTACACAGTTGCACAATTCATGTGTACCAGACAATTCACACAACTGACTATAGATCCCAATGGCACACAGTACGTGATGTTATCCTTCCCGAATGTATAGATTGTGCATGCAGAGGCGTGAACAACGGCGTACAGGTATTGGAGGCTCTTGGGCTCCTGGCAACCAAACACGTTTCTTGACAATTCCGCACATGGGTATCGACAATTTAATTAAATATTAAAGCGTGGATCTAAGAGCAAATAGTGTCATAATATAAACCCAAAATATGATCATAAGACTCGTCCGTGTGTCTGTAAATTTTGTGACGTTTCTGTATAGGGTATCGACCATGAGGTTCATACTGTTATCTAAGAATACATTCACAAAACCTAGGCCTACTGTGGCAGTATAGCAGATGTCTATTCATACAGTGAACAAACACACGCTACAGGTGTGATATCTTCATTGCAGATGCCGTTTGAGATTGGAAACCGAAGACATCCTGAAACACATAATTACATGATGAATAACAGGTACAATATAATCACCGACGCTACATACATAAAGATGGCATAGGCTCACTAACAAATAGGTATGACATATCAGTAGGTATGACATAAAAGACATGAGATAATCTGTGCGCATGAAACGCGTTTACTTTAGCATGTACAGTAATTACCATGCTACACAATACAATGTTGACATCCAAGGGAGATTACTCCCTTATTTAGATATTGAGTGAGTGAGTGAGTGAGTGCATTAGGTTTAACGCCGCTTTTAACAATATTCCAGTTATATCGCGGCGTGTCAGCTTAATGAGGGAGGAAAGCCCGAAGTGATGTAGGTCTCAGACGTTTACCACTTCGGTGATACCCACGAGCACGGGTATGGTGCTGACAAACCTAGAAACATAATCGGGGCGAACCGGGATTCGAACCCACAATCATAGGTTTCTTGCGTGCCCAAGGGACGCAACTCTGCACAGCGAATCGCGGCGCCTTAGACGACTGGGCCACCCGTGCCCCCATTTAGATATTGACTATACAACATTAAATTACATTATGCTAACACATTCTGAAAATAATATACAATACTCTATGACAGAAACTAATGGCAAACAATATAACATTAAATGTCACCATAACATTTACAAATCACATTAAGATAAACAATGAAATGCATACCCTAGGCCTGTAGGTGACACAAGGGCGAAATCCCCAACTGCCACACTTATGTCAACATTATATTCAGCGACCTGAATAAATAGTACATAGACTAAAACACTATTTAACATTTAATATATTGAACATGGTAATACACACATTCTATTTACAATGGTATTACATATATAACATCTGAATTCATTCATTACAAACAAAATGTTAAAATCGTTAAAAACATTCTAGAAGTGGAACAGACATATTTCATTCATGTAAGTGATGGAATATATTTTAGTCATACATTATGGTCGTACAGCTTATTTTATGCCGATTTACATAATTAGACATAACCTCCATTTATATTAGATTACATACATTAAGTATTTAAAACTCTTAAACATACTTGATAAAAAGATTATAACCATTTAACTAACCTGATTGTAGATGGCAACTTTATTCCTTGCTGATCTGAGCAGTTCTGCCAGATCATGTTCAATGATAGTATACAGGGTGATCAAAACATGCAGTTTAACAACAGGTGTTAGCTGGGCCAATCAGCATATAGAGCTTGCATGGGGCAATTAGTAGGTGACACAGAAGGACAGATACACTGACTGATAAAACTAAACGAAACTAACAACCAATTATATAAAATAAGCATATGTGAAAACGTGGAATGAAATTAAAACAAATATGTACAAACACTACAATGTACATCGGCCACACTAACATGTTTCCACTGAGGTAGGTGGACCTTTGAATATAACTCACATGACCCCGGATGTTTCCCCGTGGGGATTCGATGACACACAATCAAACATGTCACAGAGTTAGACCACCCGATTCAATTCCGTCACCTCTAATGACAAGCAATAGAGCGCTCGGGACCTATTGTAACCTGGTTCCCCATAGACGTAATGCTTTTCATCGGTCTGGACATCATTGTAAATTAAAGCGATCACGTAGAGTTAGCTTTACAAAGTGACGCAGGTCGTAGACGTTAGATAGGATACGATGAAGACAAAGCAGGTATCGTGATTGCAGTCAATCTGAAATTCGAACCCACAACAAGTGTCTCCCGGACAACGAAATTTCAGACCAATGAGCTACTCGTGCTGCAGATGGTTGTGTGGCGAGAGCATAACAATACTGTCTGACTGTTACAAGTTTGCTTGTATTGCTGGAATCGTTTACTATATTTGTTTGCTATATGTGCTACTACCGTATATTTTCTGGCCTTTATCTGACGTGGATAGTGGTATCCAGATAAACTGCCAATAAGTTCTTTCAATTACAGCCATGTGCGGACAGCTTGTTTGTTCACCAGTCTTTGTTGAAGTCGGTGTCCAAGACTACTGTGTACATATTCAAGTCTTACTACAAAATTTCCAGCACTTATTCAAGTGGAGTCAGTGACCAGGCTTCCAGGAAAGTGAATCTGCTCTATCCGTATATCCCTACCTCTGCGCCCCCCAACCCCCCCCCCACCCACCCCCCCACCCCCCATCACACACACACACACAACCTGTTTTCGCCATGTGGCTAGATGATAGATTCTACCTTTCTCCTGGTGGATCCATTGCCTGCAGCCGACGTCCAAGAATGTCCCAAACATGTTCCAATGGATTCATATCTAGACTAATAGCGGGCCAAGGCAAAGTGTCAATAGCACAGCACGAGCACGACGGGGTTAATAAAAACAGGTCGAGTGGCAAGTACATGATTGTCAAAATGTAGCACAACAGGACTGAAGATGTCCTGGATATAACAATCGCCGTCGACATTGCCTCATACTGTTAACATGTCCAGTTTACAGTCATGAGATATTGCTCCCTACACCTTGACTGAGCCTCCACCATACGGGACTTTGTGCAAAGTTCCTAGGGATATATGTTGTGTCTCCAAACCCCCTTTCACCCATCTGTGACGTGCAGCAACAATCTGCTTTCATCAGACCAATGGATCCGTCGCCACATCCTCAGACTCCAATCACGTCGAGCCATACACTAAGTCAATCCAAGTCTTTGATGATGAGCAGTAATCACGGGAGGTCTGATGACCCTTCGCGACTTCAACCCAAATGATTTTATCCTTGTTCGGACAGTTCTGATGGACAATTTCATGTTTGGAAGCCATTGTTCGTTCAGAGCTTTACTGGTAGCAAAGGGCTGACAAAACAATCAGATAATTGCCCTTTTATAAACCCTTACTTGCATCAATATCAAAGTGCTTTTCCTGAAACTTGAGGGAATCATGCTTCACTTTCATATTGGGTGACAGTCAGTTATTGTCATGACCATACTCGAGATCGACAGCCATGAAATGTACTATGAAAGTAACCCTCATTCCTCCAAACCAACGTCACGCCAAACTAGCTCTTGACTACTATCATGATGATGCCAGAGTGAGTGATTGAGTGAGTGAGTGAGTGAGTGAGTGAGTGAGTGTTTAACCGAAGTCAGCATTGTTTCAGTTATATCATGGACACAGTCATGAACAAGACAGCCAGTGTTTGATAGCATACTCAACGATCGAAGCCATCGGGATTGGATCACAGAGACATACCAGGTCACACATTACTTCAACTCAATAATAACTGCGACAACAGACTTAGTAAAATGTATTCTAATCAGAAGTTGCTTGTGTACCATAAAAACGAAATAAATTGAATCTAGGATTAAATACTGATAGCATAAAACTATGTAAAAAATACGCAACAAACCCCTTTCCATTCTCGTAAATGATCTCGGCTAAATGCAGTGTCGACTGTGTGATTGCGACTTGATCATTGGCATGTCTTTATGAATCACTATGAAATAGTGATGATACGCGGTGTTTGCGAAAAGGTGAGCGTATCCTGCCCCACCTGTGACACCCGTTACAAGCACATGCAAAGGCAAGTCAATTATTCGCCTGAATAAAACACCGGAACACATGGTACAAGTCAAAATAGGAAATATCATTATTGTCACTGAGGCGTCAAATTTTGAAATGTCCTCACGTCTACCATAACATTTTACTCAGCCCTTGAATGTTGCAACCTCGATCAAACAACTTTTGAGCGAACGTCGCAGGACACTCATTGACATCTTCCAAGAAACAGCAAACTCGAATGTTGCTCAAAAGTTGTGAAATGTGAGACACCAAATGCTGGAACTGCTGGTATATTGCTGGACATAAAGGGGAAGTTGAGGCGTCACTCTAGCGTTGGCGGCGTGCCATGCTTCAGTGCACTTTCTTATAGTCTCAATAAATTCCTATTTCGATCGGAACGCCCATAAGCTATCAAACTTCCTACTATGAGTATTTGATTCGTTGGCCCCCTGTTGCCAAAACTGACTCTGATATAAAAATACCGACCTGTCTGTAGTTTCAGTCACTTAGAGGATTGCCACTGCTGAGTGTCCGTTTATATTTGTAATTCTTCGTGATTACTCAGAGAAAGAAACCGGACAATGAACCTGACCATCGTTTTGGTGCTACTGGCTCTCGTGGCAGTGGCCTTTGCCCAGGACCCACCGGTACGTGTCTGTCAGAAACCATTCCTCTCTGTTATCATTTGTTATGCTGGCCACGTGTATCCGATGTTGCTGATATATTCTAACTGTATTTCAAACAAGAAAAGTGTTTATCATTGTATTTAAGCAGTATGACTTGTTTGATTCTATCATCTAGTTCTTTAAAAAATATTTTTCCCTTAAAACACAGACTTATTCATCTGTAACGGTACACATCTGTATTGGTCGTTTTAACAGGCAAGAAATACATTTCTACTTCGTTTCGAAATATGAAACCGCGATGGGTCTTTCGAATTAATGGGTACCAGTATATACGTGAATCTGGTTCAATTCTGATGTTTTAAAAGCGATTTCATCGTCAACTTGGTCTCCGATGCAAGAAACGGCAATAGCGTCATAAGAATTTAACGTATTATTCTCAGGTCTTAATTGTTGACATTAAGAAAAACAACTTTTTGTTTTGTGTCACATATTCTATTTAACGGAATCAAATACATTTCGTGTCACTCATTGTTTAGCACACACGCTTATTTCGTCAAGTCTCTTTATCAAACGAGACCGCCTTCGTAGTCTAGTGGTACAGCGTCCGCCCGGAGGGACGAAGGTCGGTGGTACGATCCTCGACCGCGTCATACCAAGAAACGTTAAAAGATGGTACCTGTTGTTACCCTGCCTGGCGCTCGGCATGAATTGGCAGTAAGAAGGACTAATCGGCTCGGTGTCCAACTGAAACTAGCTAAACTGCGGCATAGTATCTCGGTGGGCTATAAAACTTGCATTAGTCCGGACTAGCAAAAGAAGCCACGCACGCAAGCACGCACGTCAATATATACGTTCAATAATCTTGAACGCGACGTTAAACCCCATTTCACCTTCTTCACCTTAATCCAACGACCTTATAGGTCCTTTATCAGATAATATTATTTATCATTCTGATGGGATATTTCATGCGGGATAGGGGCGGTCGGGTAGCCTAGTGGTTGAAGCGTTCGCTCGTCACGCCGAAGAGAACGGGTTCGATTCCCGACATGGGTACAATATGTGAAGCCCATTTCTGGTGTCCCCCTCCGTGATATTGCTGGAATATTGCTAAAAGCGGCGAAAAACCAAACTCACTCACCTCACAGCGTATTGAAAAACTAAGGCGTTAGGTTATCAGTAAATAACGATTATTTGATGGCACATGCTAGTGTAATAACAATAGTGAGTGTACTTATATGGCTCCATACACAAGTTGCATGCTCAAAGGTCCTGGTCATTGGATCAATGTGCACTCGATTTTCATTCTAAGCTCCCTGGGGATCATACAACGCAAGCTGCTTTCAGCTTGCATGGTACCTTGTGACATCCACACGTTCACTGCAGGGTTATACACATATTTCTAATTTATATGTCACAGTGTCCCAACGTCCACTTTAAGGTAATCCCCGGTACTTGGATCAATGTGCACTCGATTCTGATTCTAAGCCCCCTGGGGAGTATACAACGCAAGCTGCCCGTGAAGCGCAAGAAGGTTAATAGCCAATTTACTATTCCATTCAATGCTTGGTGAACAGAGGCTGATTTCGGACAAAGTCACTTGCCTGAGAAGACACCACATCTGCTACATGTTCTTCAGTATGAACAGAACCGAAGCCCAAAACATTCCCAGGAGACTCTCGAACGCGGTCACCCATGCAACTATTCTCCGCAACTGACGTTGCACAACGTCACCTGATTTGTGACGTGTGGGCTGCCCACGGGGCCACGTGCCACCAGTGTTGGATGTAAGGATACTCACAAACCAGTGAGTGATATCACAAGCATCGACCCACGCCAATTGAGATGCGATGACATGAAATCAAGCAAAGTCACCGAGCCTGGATATGTGTGACAATGAATATGCACCTACGTACGTTAACATGAGCGGGATATAAGAAAATACCTGATGGTGTAGTACCATCAAGAGTGATCATGGCGAATGGACTGATCATAACAAGATGGACACAGGATCAGTGAGTGAGTGAGTATGGTTTTACGCCGCTTTTAGCAATATTCCAGCAATATCACGGCGGGGGACACCAGAAATGGGCTTCACACAATGTACCCATGTCGGGAATCGAACCCGGGTCTTCGGCGTGACGAGCGAACGCTTTAACCACTAGGCTACCCGACCGCCCCCAACACTGGATCTGACTATTCAGGGGGTCGTTGTATGACCAGTGGACCAGATATTCAGTGAATGTTCAACGAGTCGTACTGGTACATGTACGTATTGATCGTTATCTTCACATCAAAGACAGCGGAGCGAGCATGATCTTAATGACCATGACGTTTTAGCCGTGCCAGTGTTTTAGTTTCAATCCAACTTTCACCTAAAATGTGACAATGGTTTGCCAGTACCTCATTCCTGTTGATGCTTTAACCAAAGTAGTTGTGCTTGCGTTCACAGTTATCTGACCTGTGTTACTGAAATACTGCTCAGCTAGAGCCAACACAGTTATTGCAGTCACACCTGTGTCCTATAGATTGTCATATGCCCGCCAGCAACGACAGCTGAGACAAGCGACATGGTTTAACAACATAAACAGGCTGAATGTTTCAATGAAGTTACTCCCTCATAAACACTTCTCAATGGTCGTACTTTTATGACTATCACATATGCGGAATGTGTGGATATTGCAAGTCGCGTTCTTCATTCAAATGAATCTGAAATATTATCAAAATTACTGCTTACAGTTTGCAGAGAACCTTGTGACATCCACATGTTCACTGCAGGGTATTACACATATTAATAATTTATATGTCACAGTGTCCCAATGTCCACTTTAAGGTAACCCAATGTTGGATGTAGTGACACTTCACTTGTTTTGTTACGCCGCACTCAGCAGCGTTCCAGTTATATGACGGAGGTCTGTAAATATTCGACTGCTGATCAGACAAACCAGTGAGTGATATCACAAACATCGACCTCCGCAATGGAGATGCGATGACATGAACTCGAGCAATGTCACCGAGTCTGGCTACCCGATCCATTAAGTCGCCTCCAACAACCAGCATATGTTGTTAGGACCTATATTTACACCCAGAATCCCCACAGATCATGACACAGCAACTGATAATGGATGATTCCATATTGGTGGAAACTGAATAATAATTTAGCAGTGGATCATTATTTAGAGGGATTCGTAATATGGAATAAGTGATCATTATGTATCAGAGTATTTTATACTTGATGAATGCATATGAGAAGAAAAAGGGAATTATGTTTCCTGTAGATAACATTTGAGCGAATATGAATATAAATATATACCTGCGCACGTTACCATGGACGGAGAAAAAGGGATGGTACAATGTCATGGACAGTATCTTGAATGCCTAGATCATATCATAATGCACATCGTAGCATACAAATGAGGGGGTCGGTGTACGACCAGTGGACCAGACATTCAATGAATGTTCAGTTGATCGTAGTAATGCAAATTGGTCGTTGTCATTACACCATTGACTGTAGAGCATAATCTGTAAGCCCATGATGTTTTAGCTGTGTCATGTGTTTCGTTTCAATCGAAGTATCCTTGGTTTGCCAGCACCTCATTCCTGCTGATGCTTTCTGACATGTGACACTGAAACACACTTATTGGTTTTATCTTGTTTGTTTATCGCCACACTCAGCAATATTCCAGACATGCATCAACCAAGTCAGCGAGCCTGACCACCCGATCCCCTTAGTCGCCTCTTACAACAAGCATAGTCGACTTTTACGGCAAGCATGGGTTGCTGAAGACCTATTCTACCCCGGATCTTCACGGGTCGAAATACACTTGCAGATGTACATCGCATAAAGCAGCAGTCACACCTATGGCCTATAGATGTTCATAAGCCTGTCAACAATGACAGCCGTGACAAGCGACATGGTTTAAAAACACAGCAAGCTGTATGTTTCAGTGAAGTTTGGTTATTTGCCATGGTCGTTATTTAATATGACGATCATATATGTGGAGAGGAACGAATACTGCGAGGGCCATATCGCGTACTTACGTTCAAACATTCCAATGAATCTGAAATATTAACAAATGTACTGCTTTCATTTTGCAATGTACGTTGTGACATATAGTGTCCACATCAGGGTGAAATACATGTTCCTGAGTTAAATGTCACAGTGTCCCAATGTCCACTGCAGGTTATAGGCATATTTCTGAGTTATATGTCACAGTGTCCCAATGTCAACTGCAGGTTAATAGGCATATTTCTGAGTTATATGTCACAGTGTCCCAATGTCCACTGCAGGTTAATAGGCATATTTCTGAGTTATATGTCACAGTGTCCCAATGTCAACTGCAGGTAAATAGGCATATTTCTGAGTTATATGTCACAGTGTCCCAATGTCAACTGCAGGTTAATAGGCATATTTCTGAGTTATATGTCACAGTGTCCCAATGTCAACTGCAGGTTAATAGGCATATTTCTGAGTTATATGTCACAGTGTCCCAATGTCAACTGCAGGTTAATAGGCATATTTCTGAGTTATATGTCACAGTGTCCCAATGTCAACTGCAGGTTAATAGGCATATTTCTGAGTTATATGTCACAGTGTCCCAATGTCCACTGCAGGTTAATAGGCATATTTCTGAGTTATATGTCACAGTGTCCCAATGTCCACTGCAGGTTAATAGGCATATTTCTGAGTTATATGTCACAGTGTCCCAATGTCCACTGCAGGTTATAGGCATATTTCTGAGTTATATGACACAAATTATTACACAATGTCTGAGTTATATGCCACAGTGTTCCAATGTCTACTGCAGGTTAATACACAATGTTTTGAAGCGAACTGCTCGTAATTCTCAGTGTATTTCATAATACAGCTACATCATTCATTGCAGCAAAGTATTGAATGCACATGTTACTATATACTAGTATACATACTGATGTATTATTGACAGCTTCAACTTTAATCGGCACCCGTATGCCTATTTCAGTGTATCAACAGGTGACAAATTCTAATAAATTGAAAGATAGATTGTTCCTTTTAATCAGTGTGAGTTTAATTTCCAAGAAAAGATTTCTGAAAGTCTCCTTTGCAACAATGTTTAATGGATGTGGCCAATTTTCAAAAACTGAAAGCAACACTACTCAAAAGAATTCAGATACCCAAATAAGTAAGTTACTGGGATTTCCTGTTTGACAATAGCTTTGTCAAATTTGGGGATAGACTATCAAGATAAGTAGTACGTTTCCCCTTCCATATTCCCAGCTCACCTTGGCATACAAAGCAGACTATTTTCGCGAACACATGGTGTTATCACTGATTTTCAGTGATCCATGCATACAAAGCAGACTATTTTCGCGAACACATGGTGTTATGACTGATTTTCAGTGATCCATACATATAAGTTTGCCCTTTACACCCAATATAATCTGTTTCTGAAGATAATGAAGACTGATTGCTAAGTACCAAACCTGGGATCTGTGGACAGAGATTCAAAACGATGGCGATCTCTGTACCAAGCTGTAGAAGAGAGATACTTTCGATAACCCAAATGGTACATGCCCCCCATCAGTTACAGCTCACGGCGACTACATTCTCAGTTGTTTGGGTACTTTAGACCATGTAACGTTTTGTCACATTTTATGGACGGACACATTTTTCTCACAACTCTACTTTTCACTGACTTTCAGTCATTCCTTCATCGGGGCACCACTACAATGCGCATTTGCACGTTGTCTTATGTCTTGTGCCTTCTGTTCAATACATCACGTGTTCCTATTTCTGATCAAGTGAACGTTTTATAACATTTTACTCGGATGAACTTTTAAAACTTTCTACTCGAATGAACCCCTGAATACTTTCTACAAAGTTAACTTTAAAAGAGGTCTTCTCAAATCAACGATTTTGTTTCTATTTGTTACATTAAAATCCATTGAAAACTTAGTCGGAAGCGTACAATGGATTCAGCTTCTAGCAGTGATTTGTTATGCTTATAGAACGGGTTTTGTCGCTTTAATTCTTTTGTCCGCTGCAGAAACTATTGACACGGTAGTCAGGATAGAGCGGGCATCAACCGAAATGTATCAAGTTGTGTCTACCAACATTTCAATTCTGCCACTGCATCCTAATAACAAGACTATCATCTGGTTCACTCAAATAAATCAAATCTCGGCAACCTTTGCTCGTGGATTTTTCTACAAACAGGAAGAGCCCACAGTATCGACTTAAGAGTATAGTTCTTGATATTGCTTCGGAACGTTTGGCAAAACCAGAAACAGACTCCACTAAATCAGACAGAGACCGCATATTCTTGAATATTGAATTCGGAATTTGCAAACAAGGGACTTGATGCCTTACATTAAAGTAACATTCTCAGACAAATATAAGTTTTCCAAATGGTACCACAATATTTAAAAATTCAGGAACCACCAACACTTATATTTTCCTACTGTAACACGAACACCATTTCATGAAATTTGTTCAATCAAAGGAACGTGTTGCAGAACATGGGCTTAGTAGCTCATGATTTCAATTCCAGTATTTGTGGCTGCCAAGACTCACTAACTTCTCTATTGGTGACACTAACAACCTTCGTCGGTTATTCAAATATGGACCAAAATATCATGATCAGACTCCTAGCAATAGGGATCACAACTTTACAATCATTATGGATACTGTCGAAGTGGAACCTGTTAAATGTCTTTTAGAGTGGGTTATGTTCGAACGTGATGTTGTCATTAGTGGGATGCACAAATTGAAAAAGAGGAGACAAGATTGGAATATACTGGTTCTCATTCTGTCCCAGCTAAATGTTCAGCTGCCATCCAATATCTGTCTGCACTACCTGATTGGTTGGTTGGTTGGTTGGTTGGTTGGTCTGTTGTTTAACGCCGCACTCAGCAATATTCCAGCTATATGACGTCGGTCTGTAAATAATTGAGCCTAGACCAGACAATCCAGTAATTTTTGTCATGAGCATCGATCCACGCAATTGGGATCGATGACATACATCAACCAAGTCAGCGAGCCTGACCACCCGATCCCGTTGGTCGCCTTTTACGACAAGCATAGTCACCTTCTACGGCAAGCATGGGTTGCTGAAGACCTATTCTACCCCGGAATCTTCGCGGGAACTGCACTACCTGAAAAGTTTGTTGTTGCTCAAGGCCTCAAATACAAAACCATTTTATGTAAGCATGTGTGTCCTCGGATACATTGTCAACTTCATCGTCATGACCTGAAACAAACCCGATATGTGTGCCCAAACTCGGTGATCCGACTACTTGTCTTAAACACGTTTTGTACGTTGGTTACCAGTAGTAATGTGTGACCTGGTATCTCTGACATATAACAGAATGAGTTTTAATTTCAGTGTGACATGAACATGAGCGGCAAGAAATGCGCTGCAGAGGAAGTATTTCCAGCATGCCTCGCCCCCTCCTTGAATTGGGAGGTAAGTAATACTATATCAATAACAAAGAATAAATAGATAGCTCAAATTGACGCTGAGGAGGGTGATGGATGTGAGAGATTGTGACAGGAAACGTTTGATAAGGACAAGTATTTTTTAACATCGCTATATCACGTCATCTGTTTCAGAACTGTGTGTGTCCTCCTGGAACCAGATGTCATCTTATGGAGAATGATGCCTGCGCCTTCTCATGTGAACCAGTTGGCGATGAAGTCGAAGACAACAATGCAGGAATGGGTCCCGGGAATGGCTTGGATTAATACATCCCCACGGACGTTGTCCAAGAGATTGAATACAACTGTGTTTAAAAATGTTGGCCACGTGCTTATCTGATATTAGGTCTTTCTGAACAGTGACCTTGTCAACCAACCATCGACTCTTTAACGTTTTACATCTGCATTTGGATTATGTTGAGGTACTGATCTGTCGTTTATTAATAAGTGAATAATTATTTTAATTTGAACGCAAATAGATGTTCACTGCCACAAGGTCATATTGACCCACTATCAAGGTCAAAGATTACAGGTGCATATATATCCCATATCATGTCGTTATTGTTCAGTGTGACCTAATTCTGAAACAACATTGAGATATTTGTGAACACGTTATGTGACCAGTCTCAATATTGATTAAAGTAATTTATGATTGTGTTTTTCCTGTTTGTAGAAATATTTTCCGACTTAATTCTGATATAAACCACTGTGACCCACTACCAGTCTGGTTCCTCCTTCCTCTAAGGTAGACATGTTGAGGGTATTTGGGTTCGATCCTTCAGGCAAACGCTCCCAAGGTTGATCCAAACTACCTCATAAACTTTCCTAAGGGATTTCAAAGAAATAACACAAGCACACAAACACAAGCACACACAGAGACACAGGCACAGACACCCCTGGAGCACGAGTAGCTCAGTGGTCTGGTATCTCGCTGTCCGGGAGCAAGTGCGATCACGATCACGGTACTTGGTTTGTGTTCACCATACCCGATCTGACACATATAGCTAGGACCTGCGTCACTTCATACATATATCACGTCTACGCCAGAGAATAACCAGCCTCTCTCATCCGCCAAACCAGACCCCATTGGGCGTGAAAAGAAAAACAGCGGTGAAAATTATATTAATCATGGGGGTATATTATGAAACTATATTTACTCTCAGATCTACACTTCAATATTTAATGAAATTGAATCTTGTCTATACCCATGTGTCGAATTGTCAAGAAAGGTGTTTGGTTCCTAGGGGCTTCAGAGTCACCCAAACAAATACGCCTTTGTTCACGCCCCTGCATGCACGATCTACACATTCAGGAATGATAACATCTTGGACTCTGTGCCACCGGGATCTATAGCCAATCATGTGTATTTGTTCTGGTGCAAATTTATTTTATGACTGTGTTAACTGTAAGATATCATAGAAATGGGGTTTTAAAAAGGCAATTAGATTAGCAACCAATGCATCGCTGTAATATTAGTTTGAACACTTAACTAATAATGAATATGGGACAGGTCTAGTGGTCCAAGGGGCTATAATTAAGTGCCTCTCGTTGATGCATTACTTTGGGATTTTCGTCCCACGTCAAGCTGGCACGCCGTGGTATAAAGGAATAGTTAAGTGGCGTTAAACCCAACTCACTCACTCATTCAGATGTCGCCGGGAACGTCTACAAAAACGCAGATGCTATGCTGGTCGTAAGAGGCGACATAATTGATCAGGCTTGATGACTGGGATGATTGTGGGGCATCGTTTCCTAGGGCGAGGTCCCATGCTTATAACTGGTCAAGACTCGGTTATTTAAAGGCCGGTGTCATGTCTATAGAATAATGCTGAGCGCAGAGGTAAACAACACAGAAACCAGTCAACTACGTGTCTGAGTAAAGCGCCGTTGTCGCAATAAACCAGCTGTTACACATATACCATGGAGTGAGTGAGTATGGTTTTACGGCGCCTTTAGCAATATTTCAGCAATATCACGGCGGGGACATCGGAAAATTGGCTTCACACATTGTACCATTGAAATCGAACCTGGGTCTTCGGCGTAACGAGCCAACGCTTTAACCGCTAGGCTACCCCACCGCCCCCATATACCATGAAGAGGATCGAAATAATTACAGACGCCTCAAATGAATAATAATTCACGATAAAACACATGATGATATCTCTGGTGTCTATGACGAGTATGATGACCTTAAAACTACACGTATGATGCAATATATAAATATTTTCATGACTGAATGAATTCACCTGTAAATACGTATGTTTGCGTGTGCCTTGGTTTGACTGACTCACTCTGTGATGATCACACCACCACTGTGGCAGCGGATGGAGCAAGGTTAAGCTCTGAGTGGTTTGGTCCATCACAACACAGAGCCATCATGACGTCTGTAGTTGTGATTTATTCATCAAAGCAGATAATTGATCACTGGTGTTCTTGAAACACTTCATAAATCATGGCACGATCAGGGCGTCGGCGAGGAATGCATTCAGTGACTCATGGACGTCTTTAAGGTTTCTGAAGAGAAGGAAGTCTTAGCAATATAAGTTACCATGTTACACTGAACATTTGGCACGGCACGATGAGCAGATGTGGCTCTATTAAGGGTGCAGATCACAGGCAGTATGGTAGTCACTGGTTGTGTTCATCAGGAACAACTGGTTGGTAGGTGATGGTTTGTTGTGTGAACGTCATAATGGCAGGTGGCATGTCATGTGTACATGATAAATGTTGACAAGACAATGGCAGGCGGTATGCCATATGTACGTCGTTAATGGTAGGGGATATGTCATGCGTACTTCATAATTGGTAGATTAAACAACAGTAGTAGTAGTTGGAATGTCGTGTGTACATCATGATGGTTAGACTAGACAATGGCAGATGGTATGTCATATATACGTCATTAATTGCAGGTGATATGTCATGTCTACGTCATAATTGTAGATTAGACAATGGCTGTTTTTCATAGGATTTACAGTTAAATCCATACCATGTATTTCTTCATATCTATTCTTTGAAAATGAACTCCGTTGTGTACATCAGGGACAATGGTCAGTTGGGGCAATGGCAGGCGGTATGCCATATGTACGTCGTTAATGGTAGGGGATATGTCATGCGTACTTCATAATTGGTAGATTAAACAACAGTAGTAGTGGGTAGCATATCATGTCTACGTCATAATTGTAGATTAGACAATGGCAGTTTTTCATGGGATTTACAGTTAAATAAATACCATGTATTTCTTCCTATCTATTCTTTGAAAATGAACTCCGTTGGGTACATCAGGGACAATGGTCAGTTGGGGCACTGGTGGGTGGCTTGTCGTGTGTACATCAGCATGGGTAGACCGGACAATTGTAGATGGTTTGTCGTGTGTTCGTCATGGTGGGAAGACTGGACAGTTGTAGATGGCTTGTCGTGTGTTCGTCATGATAGGTAGACTGGACAATTGTAGATCGTTTGTCGTGTGTTCGTTATAATGGGTAGACTGGACAATTGTAGATGGTTTGTCATGTGTTCGTCATACTGGGTAGACTGGACAATTGTAGATGGTGTATTATGTGTATGTCATGGTGGGAAGACTGGACAATGGTATGTGGTGTGTACGTCATAATGGATAGACTGAACAACGGTAGGTGGCCTGTCACACCGAACGTACATTATTATGGATTATCTATCCATATTATGGGTAGATTTACAATGTGTAACGCCTATGCTTTTGTCCCCGTTGTGATAGTGATTGAATATTGCACAATAAAGGCGGAAACCACTCACTCACTCACCCTTCGTGTACTTACTTACTCACTCACTCACTCACGCATTGTAGTTCACTCACTCTCTCACCCAAACATTATCTTCCAACTCACTCACCAACCTAAGCACACATCCACCCTCTCAAACACTCACTCATTTACTGTCACACAGCCTCCATGTCAAACGCAGCAGATACAGTTACAACACTGTCAGCGGGTGTCATGTTCGCAGCAGTCAACACCCACAATACAATCAGCTATAAGGCAACTCCCACACGCTATACAATCCGACCCTTGGTCCAGAGTTGAGTTCATTTCAGAATGTATGGACTGTTCCTTTGTGGTCGTAAATGTCTATGTTCTGCCCGACTTGATTCCAATACGTGCTACACAAAGAGTGGACACAATTCATGAATATTGACTATTCGTGACACGTTACACACAAAGGATTGTAGAAGGACTGTTACGCTTGTGAATATCTGATGGTGTTGATCATTTGTCAAATGCATAGCTGTATTCATGCCCAAAGAATACGTTTGTTTCAGTCGTGGCGCATGGATGCGTTTAACACGAACAGTTGGCTTCTGTCGAGAATATTTGGAGATTGAGTAGGGCTCATATTTGAGGATACATTCTGTCGTAATTCTAAATCGGGACTATGCTCGGACTTCAATATTATCAAGTTCGATTCAAGTCGTTCAACTTTTCATTAATTTCATGACGTTAATTTGTCTCGCAGTCAATTATTTCCTTACTGACTCACGAAAAGACAAAGGCTTAGGTTAGACATGACACTATTTACAAAGTCTATCCAAGTGCTGAAAGTGCGGTGGGGTAGCCGAGTGGTTAAAGCGATCGCTCGTCTCGCCGAAGGCCCGGGTTCTTTCCTGACATGGGGACAATGTTTGTATCTATTTCTGCTTCGTGTCACTCAAACGTCAATGAAGGCTTCGAACTTGTTTTGGAAACTGCATCAGGTTTGATATTCTCCCAGCGCAACAGTCCAAATGTACATCTGATCTCAGTAGCATTGCTCACAGCCATATACCTTTGAGTATGTTCGTGTAATTACTCAAAGAGGTTCATGTTTAGTGAACAAACATGCATGTGAAGTTTCGGGGATGCATGAGGTAGACATTGAATGAGTGTTGACTGAACAAACATGCATGAGGTACACACTGAATGATTAGTAACTAAACAAACATGCATGAGGTACACATTGAATGAGTTTGTACTGAACAAACATGCATGAGGTAGACATTGAATGAGTTTGTACTGAACAAACATGCATTAGGTACACATTGAATGATTAGTAACTGAACAAACATGCATGAGGAACACATTGAATGAGTGTTAACTGAAGAAACATGCATGAGGTACACATTGAATGATTAGTAACTGAACAAACATGCATGAGGTACACATTGAATGATTAGTAACTGAACAAACATGCATGAGGTACACATTGAATGAGTTTGTACTGAACAAGCATGCATAAGGTACACACTGAATGATTAGTAACTGAACAAACATGCATGAGGTACACACTCAATGATTAGTAACTGAACAAACATGCATGAGGTACACACTGAATGATTAGTAACTGAACAAACATGCATGAGGTACACATTGAATGATTAGTAACTGAACAAACATGCATGAGGTACACACTCAATGATTAGTAACTGAACAAACATGCATGAGGTACACATTGAATGATTAGTAACTGAACAAACATGCATGAGGTAAACATTGAATGATTAGTAACTGAACAAACATGCATGAGGTACACATTGAATGATTAGTAACTGAACAAACATGCATGAGGTACACATTGAATGAGTTTGTACTGAACAAACATGCATGAGGTACACATTGAATGATAAGTAACTGAACAAACATGCATGAGGTACACATTGAATGATTAGTAACTGAACAAACATGCATGAGGTACACATTGAATGATTA